AAACAGAGAAAAGGAAAGGGGAAAGAACACCGCCCATGATGAACGCCAGCAACTAAGTCACACCAATCAGAGGAAGCCTTATTCTTTGGCGGAAATAACTGTCAGGCTTGTGATCACCGGAAAGCGATATGACAGCTCGTTCACTATATAATTACAGATTATAGACAATAACTTTTTTATTATAATTTTTCAATGATGCCAAGTAACGGGACCAACAAATCATGCGCCTGGAGATAAGTGACACACCTCTCCATAGCAGTTGCAGTGCCACTCAGAGCTTTAAATCGCAAAGACTTGAGAATCACTGCCACCGCGCTCCTCACCCCTCAGGGTGTGTCTCGACACAAGTTGACAATTCCCATGTGCCTGTAATTGCACCAACACCCTTCAAAACTGAATCACATTAATGCTCTCAACTGCATGGCGGCATAAATAGATAAGGTTAGGTTACAGTACAGTATAGTACAGAACTTCCCTGTACAAACTCTTTGACAAGAAGCTCTTCTGCCACTTAACTGAAAAGACTGGACTCTTATTAATGAGCTATAGATCGAAGGATCAGATCTCACGAATTTTTCTGTGTGTTTGTTGCAGATATTTGTGTTGGGTTTAAACGGCTTCTTGCTGACGGCACCACCTGTGAGAAACTCATAAAAAAATATACGAATATCATAGTAGTAAAAATATCATGATATTAAATGAAATAAATATTAAAAATTAAAGATGTTGATATTTTAAGTTTATTGAATGTCACTTTTGACCACTATGATATTCAATTATTTTTGTTAAATTATTATTGTGAATTACTCTACTCGTTTGTTATGATTATTAAAGATCGAACACTTAGAAAAAAATCATTTGATCCTTTGATCCAGCTGGATTTAAACCAACGTTTTCCAAAGCGTGCCAGATACTATGCCAACTAAGCCACTGAACGAACTAGCAGATCTTTCGAATTCTTCTATGTGCTTGTTTTTGGTTTTTAACGGTTTTTTTGCCATAGCGCCATCTGTGAGAAATCTATGAAAGCTTTTCTTCACTCAGCCGTGTACCTTTACAGCTACCAGGAGCTGACTAGACATGCCGCTTTAATAATTATCATTTTTAATTTGATTGAATATTACTATGTTTGACCATTGTTATATTCAATTATTTTTGTGAAATTACTACCACTTACTACCACTAGTTTGTTATAATTAAAGATGAAATTAGTAATGTAACAAACCTACTTTATGTAATAGACGGCCTAAAGCCAGATTGTTCACTTTTAGTTCTCTAAGAATCTGCTAGATGGCATTGACCCATTTGGCGTTATTTCTGAATCGCGGTGTTAAGATTTTCCGTCGAATGGTGACTACTCGAACACAATTTCGTTAATGTGATCCAGTCGTAGAGTACAAAACCTCACCCCGATCTCGCTCTTTGACCGCCTAATCCCCTGGGTGAACACGGTCAAATACTTAGGAGTTACGCTCGATAGGAAGCTGTCATTCAAAGCACACGTGAAAACCGTCCGCGATCGCGCCCACTTTGTTATGAGCCGGCTTCATCCCCTTCTCAACAAGCATAGTAAACTCTCCCTTCGCAATAAGGTGAGACTGTACACGACCTGCATTCGCCCTATCATGACGTACGCCAGCGTCGCATTCGCTCAGGCAAATCCCGCGTTAATACACCGCCTGCAGGCTCTCCAAAATAGATTCATGCGCAACGCGACAGGTGCCCCGTGGTACCTGCGCAACGCTAACCTCCATATAGATTTACGGCTCCCCACAATAGCCCAATTCATGAAACAGGCGTCGAGGAAATACTTCGACTCTGCTCCTCACCACCCCAACCCCCTCGTGGTGGCTGCATCCTCTTACGACCCCCTCAGGGAACAACCCCACCGCGTACGTAGGACCCGTCGGCCAAGGGAAGTCCTCAACGACCCTGACGACCCTATCACTCTCGCCACTTTGAAGGCCAACCAGATTTCTAGTCAGTCCCGTCCCGCACGCACCAACCGTCCTCATCGGCGAGGTCGTAGAGCCCCTCATTTTAGCACGTACACTGGTAGATTCTCTCCAACAGCACGCCCTTCTGGCGGAAGTCTCCAGTAGCGCCCTGAGCCGAGGTCCGTGCCCACTTGGGCGCCCTCAGGCCCGCTACTTAGCTTTAAGTTTGTTTTAGGGGTTATGAGCCTTCAGCTCGCCCTTTTTCTCCGGTGGCGCAGTAAAGGCCATCAGCGGCCAACTGCAAAATGTCATTAAAAAAAAAAAAAGTTAATGTGAAGAGAAATCTGAAACATACAGAGAGCTCAGTAAGGCAACTAGGAGTTGAGTCCCTTCTTGGGAACTGCTACCCGGATCTTCTGACATTTCGTACGCTCGTATAGGGGGAAATATTATTGCCCATCGTATAGGGTGAAAAACCTCATCTCGCGGAACGGTTTCCAGGAGTCGAGTCCTTTCTGGGAACAACTGCCCGGACCTCCCGCATATAGGGTGAAATTGTATTGGCGACATACAAGGTGACAATAAAAATCTTCTGAACAAACAACACTTGGAGTTTTCACTTGGCTGGATCTGCGTAACCTTATCCCACGGAAGAGAGAACCTCTCTCCTTTACAGTAACAAATTAATTCATAAATTCAGGAGATTCACAATTAATATTATTGAATATATAAAAAAATAATTTATAGTTATTATAAAATCGACATCTTTAAATGCAAAATACAGATGATTCTATCCATCAATACCAAAATCTTGCTGCTTTTCTATCAACCCTTTTTTCGTGGAAAGAAAATTTAAAGTTATTTTTCCAATAAGGATATAGATTTGTCTGTGATAGCAGTCATTAGAACAAGTTGAAACTAAGAGCATAGAAAATATTTGCAGAGAACTTATAGAGACGATTGCAATCCATTTTATATCGAGCGCATCTTCGGTGGCTTTCTTGCCGGTTGATGCCAAGTTCTTTTAAAATTATATAACTAATTCCAATGATAATAATAATAATAATAAATTTTTATTTGCCATGATAATAATACAACATGCATAGTGTACAGTAAGTAAGTATCAAAGAATCAGTACATATGACCGCTGGTACTTAAAAAAAGAAAACCTGTGCTATACGTACCAGCAGACCTTCCAATGGCAGTGAAATATACAATTGTAGCTATTTTATTTATACATTAATACAATAGTACAAGTATACACCAATACAATAGTATAGTAAGAAAAAAAAAGTAAATTTGTGGAGACAGGAAGTAAGTAAAATTAAATTAATCTAAATTATATAATCTGTCTAAATAATTCTCTCACTGAAAAAGTGTGTGTGTGTGTGTATGTGTGTGGTGCGTGTGCGTCTGCGTTTGCGTGTTCGTGCGTGTGCGCAAAAGTGATCTCGTAAAAAGTATTTTAGACCCAATTTAAGTATCCCCAAACAGTAAGACGCCACATGTTCGCAACGTTTGACTTCGGAAAACAGGATCAAACAGGGAACGCGTGATAGTTTGACCGCGTTCCGTTTCCGGTATACCGCACCTGATGTAAAAATAGCGATTCTCGGTTTTATTTTGTTCTAATGACATAGTTTGAAACTTATCTAACTTCTGAAGCAGATCATTATTTAGATAAAAATATGAGAGTATAGTAGAGATACATAGATAGAAAAGACAGATAGATAGATAGAAAATTCTTTATTGTTAGCACCACATACATAGAGAGATTACAGGACAAAAATTAAACACATAAGCAGGATAATAATTGGTGGTCTTATCGCTTACTATATATACATATATATATATAGAGCTTCTTGTGAAAGAGTTCGTCCAGGGAAATATTAACACCTTACCTATTTCTGCCGCCATATAGTAAAATAAGCATTGCTGTATTCCGATTTTGAAGGATAATTACACAGGCACATGGGACTTGTCAACTATGAGTCATCAGTAAGGTAGGACGGTGTCCTTCAGCGATTTAAAGTTCTGCGTGCAACTGCAGTGGACAGAAGTGTCGTTTGTCACTTGATATCTATATAAAAAAAAGAATAAAATAAAAATTTATATCGTTAAAAGCAAAAATAAAAATCAGCATCAAACAAATAGAAAAATTCGTAAGGTCTGCAGGGGCGTTACCATGAACTCTTATTACAGTTCAGTATAGGTTCGTAACGAAAAAAAAGCGGGATGGTGATATACACTTCATGTAGCGCTGTCTCACAACGATTCATTTTAGGTCCTAAACTGAATTGTATAAGAGTTCATGGTAAGGCCCCAGGTTTGTTTCGTGAGTGGCTTAATTAATTGGAATATATGGCACGTATTGCTTGAGGGTGCTCGTTCGAATCCAGCCGGATCGAATGGATTTTTCTAAGTCTTCTATCTATGTTACTAATAATTATAACAAACTAGTGGAGTAGTCACAAAAAAAATATTTAATATCAACATCGTGACATTGAATAAACTAAAAATGGAAATAAATTGATTTGCTGGTCCGCGAACCCAGTGAAGGTTAAATCGTGCAAAATAGCTGAGCTTGCGTTAAAATAATAAAATACGCGACGCTACTGCTCGACTCTCGGCCGTGTGTCGAGCAGTCAACACATCTCCTGATGATGCCTCGTGGAGAGGCGAAACATGTGTCGGGTATATTTTTTGTGGTGGTTAAGTGTAGTTGCGCTTGTGTTATTAATTTTATGCGGAGGGAGGGTGGGATAATAAACTACATGAAAAAATATTCAACTAAACTCAACAAAAATTTTGCACGATTCCATAGACCTTCACTAGGTTCGCGGAGTAGCAAATTAATTTACTTCCATTTTAATTAACATGGATTTCCGCAAAGCAACGCCTGAATCTATTAATTATTGGATAAACGTAAAAAAGATTTATATGTTTATAAATTTCAATTTGCAAATCGTAATTTTTCTTACCTGTGCACTAATTATTCACAAATGCATTCTAGTAATAAATTTCTTTAAAGAATTTATATATTTCTATATTTCTTTGTTGCAGCGCATAACAATGGCCCACATCTGTATAACACTCGCTTTCGTCGCCGTGCTACTTATGTCACAGGAAGTCAGCGCCAAGCGTGAGTTCACCTTTATTATGTTTATTGTTGGTTTAACGACCTTCTGCATCGTTATGGTATTGCAATTCGAGTATACTAGTGCAAGCGCACGTATGTCGTAGACCCGAAAATGACATGACTACATGTGGTACCGTTTTCTCTAATACATCATATACATGTAGATTGACTGTGTATCAGCGATTCTATTGTCAGACGGTACCGGCCTATAAATTCCAATCAAAAGTTCAAAATCACAGATGGCCAAACGTGGAAATAATGAAAAAGATTGATAAGGAAAACATCATTCGGGTCAATCATTGTTCTTTCAACGTCGATAGTCGTATTGTCTGAATCTGCGAAAATTCTACACGGTAAACTTGCATTTCAATGGACGTGTTATGTTCCTTTAATCGACTGAATATGCAGAATTGTTCGAACACTGCCTAACATCCGACTATCTGTTGTGAAATTCGAATTCTACCTACAAATCGACGGCATAGCAATGATATAGTATAATAAGACAACTAGTGTAACTCCGCTTTTGCGGCGCATCAATGTCTACAAGTCGCTCGGAGTGTAGGGTTATCACATTATTATTTTATTGCACCTACAGGTTGTAAACATATTTGAGAAAAATAAGGCATTCGTCACAATATTCTCGTGCTTTATAGAAGCAACCTTTGTGAAATGCAGTACTTATATATTGATATTTTATAGGAGTATGATTAAGAAATAGAAATGTAATGCTGAACAATTCTGAATTTGAGGCACTCTTGTTCAAACAACCATAAACGCAACAGTCAACATGTCTACTCTTTGATGCCTTATTTGGGCCATTTATTGGTGGTCACACTAGCATGTCGCATTGATATGATCAATAAGAATTGTTTGTATAGTTGGTCATACTTAGGCAGTATTAACACCATACAGGCAAAAGTGCTTGGTTTAAAAAATAAAATACAATCTCGCTCAAAATATAAAATAAACGTTATATTTAATTTATCAAAAACAATCCGGCGCAAATCTCTTCGATCTTTTTGTGTAATTTTCGTGGCATAACTGTGATTTTTATTTTATTATTTGGTTACCTTGAAAGGGTTACATGTTGTTTAAATTAACTAAAAAATTAATTGACCTTTTTGTTTCTTAACCTACTTAAATACAAAATATTGAAGAATTTGTCAACTTACTCGTAACGCAACGGATAATCTACACTTTTCGATTCTAACTTTACAACAGTTTTATATAAAGTCTCCATTTTTATAACAACGTTGCTTATAAATTGTCTGCCACTGAACAGCAATACCGTTCCACCTTTGCGATTTATAAATTTAGTTTTGCCCACAGGGTGTTAATGCTGACTAAATATAAACACCAACATAAGTAATTCTTATTGGTTATATCAGTATGACATGCTAGTATGATCGCCAATAAACGGTCATTTTTTGAACACCAAACGAACGTTTCAATTCTATGATGAATCATGAGTGTGACAACCCGCGCTGTGCATTTCGAGTGTACTACAGGATTATGGGAATGTGTGCGAGCGTACAGAGCGCGCAGCGGGCGCACACACTTACAAGTCGCACTGCTACGTTTGTAAGGAGTTACAATACTTGTCTTGTTATAATATGGCGACGGGCTCTCTGATATTTCCAGTTGTTGTCGATAACCTTCACTTTGTACAATTTTGACCAAGGAGCATCTAATGTTTCACAAAGGTAGGTAAGTATTTAAGCGACTATGCCGTACTCCTTGTCACAACTAACGCATTTGCACTTTGGTAACTTTCGAGATATTGGCACCTAATGTTTTTTCTTTGAAAAATGTCAATTATGCTTATTTCGCTTAACAATACCGAAAGTAAATAGGATATTAAAAAGTCGATTAGATGGGGTAGTAGATTTCGCTGCGCTGATCCCAGACATGTTATTAACTCAATTTCGCTGAAAATGTGGATTATGTTAGTTATGATAAGGAGGGCAGTATGGCACACGTCAAACCCATTTGTTTGATAGTGATTGTGCTGTTGAAATTTTGATAATAATTTCTTGTATTTATGCGAGGAACGATTTCGATTCCTTTTTACAGATAACAAAAAGTTAATACTAAAGATACGCATTTTTTGGATACAACACTTCATCATTATCATTATTGCAGCCCCTGTGTTATTCGTTCTTAAATCTCATCATTATTCTGTTGAAACCGGCATACCGATTCATATAGTTTGTATTTTATTATTCGGTTGAATGTTTTTCGCCTTTACATGTCGTATCTCGATGGTCACTCCTCCCTCCTTCTCATGTGTCCCGCTTATCTCTATTTTGGTCGCTTGATTTACCTGTGCAGTGTAGCGCGACAGTGGTGCGGCAGTTGCGCATCTGTAGCGCTTTAGTAATTTTTAGTTTACTAAATGTGGCTGCAAAAGTGGTACGCGCCTATCACGACAGTGCAGCTACAGCTGCGCTTCTAAATATTGTATGAAAATTCAGCGGCGCGGCTGCAGGTTTGTGGCGCCAATTAGATGCTTATATAAGCGTCTAATTTGAAGATGCCTTTAGGCTTTAGTATTCTGAAAGTTTAAAGCGAATAGGTACCTAAATATATCTATTTTTGCAGATAAACGTAAGTACTGATTGTTATTTAAAATTACGTGTATATTTGTAAGAAAACAGCAAAGTTTTGCAAAAAATACGGCAGCAGTAGCAGGCTGTTATACCACATTTTTCCTTTTCATGTTGTGTAATTCTGAATAGTAATATGAGGAAATATGAAGGAAAAGTGTAAGGCAAGTGTGGATTTTCTTTGAAGTGGAAACCATGTCAAAGAAAAAGATCTGTAGAGGGCAGAATGGTGTCCACTATACCACCAAGAGCATAGCTCTCAAATCCAATAAATAAATAAAAGGACACTGTACGCATTACCATCGTAATGTGCTAAAATGTATACGTTAATTGTAATCTATCGTTCGGAATCACGACGAAATTGTATATATGAAAGGCTCGTTTGTATCATATGACATAATAACAGGCGACTGTTACGGGTGTTATAACTCACGCAAAACTGTACACAAAATACAAACCCATACGGTAAATTTACGATGTTTACTTTTTACTGTTACTGCCACAGAAATTTTTACAAATCTACATTGTAAATTCCACCTTATCTTCATGCCCATCTTTTTTATTTTTGCACCGCACTGAAACGTACTGACACATTTTAGTCGGTAATAAACTGTGAGTTACCCAACAACTTACCCAATCTACATTTTATAGTACTTGTAAAACCATTTTAACTCCAAATAAAAATAAATATAAATTTCAGTGCAGTACGGTATCTTTGTCACCACAATTATCAGTTGTCACTGTATACAGTGTGTTTTTTTAACTGGGACAGTATGTGGGGAAATCCGAAACCATAGGAGATACAGGGAAACTTTCTCAGGAATCAATATGTTGTTTTTTTTGTGAAAACAATTTTGGCACAGTAAACTTTTTGGTCAAATGTGAATTGTCCATAAAAATGGATAAAATTGATTAATTTTCTTTAGTGTTGATCAACTCATCATTTCCTTGCGACGTAGTAAGCGCTTTTCGTTACTTTTTAGATGCCTTTTACAATCAGCAGAGCGCCTGTGTTTCTGAGCACATACAACTAGAGTATCTATAAGGTGCGACTGAATAGGCATCTTCTGGGCAAGCCCGTTCCACCATAGACCCTATCTTTCCTCCAGAGCTAAGTAGTGGTCAAGAGGTAGTCCATTTTGGTAGCAGTAGAGCTAGCTCCTTGTGAAAGAGTTCGCCCAGGGAAGTACTGCCTCCTTACCTATTTCTGCCGCCAAGCAGAAATGTGAGCATTACTGTGTTCCAGTTTTGAAGGATAAGGGTGCTGGTGAAATTACAGACACATGGGACTTGTCAACTTATGTCTCAAGGTAACAGGCGCAGTGGCAGTGACCCTCAGATCTTTGCGTTTTAAAGCTCTGAGTGGCACTGCGACTATTATGGACAGACGTGTAGTTTACTACCAGGCACACGACTTGTATGTCCCGTCACATGAAATTATAAAAAAATTAAATAAAAAAGTTAAAACAATGTATTAAAAATAGGAAATGAAACTATTTTTCCGGATTTAAATCGCGTATAATTGTTTTTTCAAACAAACCGACGTTTCGGGCCCTTTACAGGTCCCATGGTCACGGTTGACTGAGGTGGTACAGTCTTCAACCAGTTATGTCTAATATTGATGCAAACCACCCTATTTTTTCACTATAGTTACAATAGTTATTAATTAAATACCTTATTTTTAATTTTACAAAGAAAACATTCCAATTTACGCTACATTGAGTTTTACAAATTATTTTATTGAATGAATTTTTATTAAGTTCAATTTATTATTAATTATTAATAGAAATTAGAATAAACTAAAATATATTAATTAGTACTGCAGTCTTATATCGATTTAAATCCAGAAAAATAGTTTCATTTCCTATGTGTAACAATCGCGAAAACCTAAGAACTCGAAATGTATTAAAAAGTTGCTAAAATCGCCATCCGTAAGCTAAGAACGCATCGATACCCGTTTATAAGCACAAACGCAATAGTTATTCTGTATAATTAGTTGAAGAGTTGAACGTTTGCAGTCTGTCCTGATTTCAGTATCAGGTCAAAGTTATATTATTATTCTAATATCATCTGTAGGGCTAGCACGGCAGGGCGCGACTGTCGCTCTCGAGCAGAGCCACATAAAGCGAGAGATCTCTATGAGAGAATAGTACTATCTCGCACTTTTTACCTTATACCGAAAATATTAATATGTGAAAATGTGAAACAATGCAAAAACCTTAGAATAATAACGCATAGAAACCTAGTCCGCACACGCTAAGTGAGGCAAATTGAAGCGCGCCAAAAGGGCCTACACGAGCGGGAGGGCCTTCAGTGCTCAAGGTCAACTTGCACCGCGAACAGATCAAGAATTTCAGCTAAAAATGACGAAATGTGCGGTAAATGAGAGTAAAAATA